TTCAAAATCAAGCAAAACATTGTCAGTAATTAGTAGAATTTTAATAAAGGACGATTGTTTCTCTGATACAACTTTAGGGAGAATGGGTTTGAGATGGTTAACAAGAACCTTCGTTACAATTTTAAGAACAAGATTACAAGGAGCAATCGATTGGAGATACTTCATAGAATAAGACTCATCACACTAGGAATCAGGGTGATTATAGTGTTTTTAAGACCTTCCGGTAAGGTACCCTATCGAAGCCAAAAGACACCCGTATAAAATATCTCATCTCCGATGGTTGTCCAAAAATTCTGAAAAAGTCGCGAATTAAACCCACTAGGTCCCATTGATTTATCTGGGTGCATTTGGAAGAGGGAAATAGAAAATTATTCCTTTGTGAACGGCGCATTTAGATGATCATTATCGATGGTCGTAAGTGTCGGTCAAACAAAGTGGGTAACCACTTATGGGTTATGTTACTAGTAGATTTAATAATGAAGGAAAAATATGTAATTTTTATGTGTAAGTTACTTTTATGGTATTTACTGATGTTCATAGGTGTTCATAAGAATGTGTTCATAATCATAAAGTGTTCATAAGAATGTGCTCATATGTGTTCATAAGAATGTGTTCATAACCATAAGACATTCATTAGATTGTGTTCATAATCATTTGGTGTTCATAGGTGTTTAATAAGACTTGTCTTAGGTGTTCATATGCCATGATCTGTTTCCACAAATACCCCTGTTCTAATGTTCACCAATGTTTATTTTGTTCAAATTTTCATTTATTACAAATATGTCATGATTTAATCCATAGATTTCAAGAATTAAGGGTTAAGATTGGTTCACATAATTAACACAAATTATTGGCTTAACAAAAGAACCACCTCTCTCTCTCTCTCTTTATATATATATATATATATATATATATATATATATATATGAGCGATCAAATGCAAACCACCCAATTTGTACAAATCGTGCAAACCACCCTCATCCGTCGATTTCATTGTTTAATCTTATGAAATTTTTTCATGAAATTGTTTCATATAATATTCTTTTTGATGAGGTTGTTTCATATATGGTTATGAAATTGTTTCATATAATATTTAATAAAATTTTAATGAAACTGTTTCATGTATTTCTCTAGAATTAAAATAATGAAGATGATAATATCCATAATTAACACTCTCCACAATAAAAAAGATTAATTAACCTCTTATAATTACAAAGATGAACAAAATGAAAAATTATGATTGATTGAATGAGGTTTGTACAGTTTGTACAAATAACGTGGTTTGCAAAGTAAAACTTACTCTATATATATATATATATATATATCATTAATTGATTAAATGTTTCATGTATTTTGTAATTATTATAGATCAATATATCTCATTATCTGATCTAGTCTTTCATATTCTTCTTGTAGCTATTATAAATCAATATATATAAATAAAATACTTATGTCAATTTAATACATTTTAGTATACATGATAAAAGTATTTAATGAAAATGCTCAATCATATTTTTGTTGTTTTCTTTCATGTTGATTTATTTTTAATCTAAACTTAACGCATTAACTTCTAAACCTTCCATTTTCATTTTTTTTATGTAACAATCAATATAATTTTTTTCATTTTTATTATATTTTATTTCGATGACAATCAGTAACCAAAACTATTAATATTATGATATGTAACACCTCGGAATTTATAAAAATATTAAATAAATGAATTTGGTAAAAGAGTTGTAACTATTATATTATGATGAATATTGGGTTGTCCGTGTAGTCCCGTTTAAGGTTGCATACGTAAAGTGAAAATACATATATCTTCCTTTAAAGTACGAGTATGATTGAGATAAAGTTAAATTGTAATTAAAATGGTTATGTCAAAGGTACAAGTAGTTGAAACTCAAAAGTAAAATTCGGTGGAGAAATGTTTTCTAATTTTGGGCTTTATTTCTATGACAAGTTAGGAGGAATTTTTGATGGATGAATTTGAGCCGATTAGTATTATAACTTTGATATCTTAGTTGGACTTGGGGCCATGGTGTTGCTCTCTTCTTCCCCAAATCGATTCTCAGCTTTGAAGCTCCTTAAAACTCAAACATTAAACCCCAAATCAGTAGCCAAATCAAAAGGGAAAGCATTATTGATGGAATTTAAGACATGGGCAACAAAGTTCTTGAAGGAAGATTGAAGAGTTCTGAGTTGTAGAGAGGTTGAAGTTGGGGAATGGGCACGAGGCTAGTAACGTGATCCCGCTCCGCCCTTATATATTAAATTTATTATATATTTATGATCTTGGTCCGTGATAGTCTTTTTATTAATAGAACTGGAAATGAGGAAAAGACTGCCCCTTTCTCTCTTTTTTACAGCCTTGTGGACGCCCTTATTGTCCTGCCTACCTCGACAGGCATACCCTGAACTATTAAATATATTATTTATAAAGAAATAGATAGTATCTTTTAGATTTATAAATAGCATTTTGACCTTTCTTCGTGTATATATATATATATACAAACACACACACATTTTTTTTCTAACTTCTCTTACTTATGATGTGATTTTGTTAACATATGAATACTTGATACTCTCATAAAGAATTTTTTTGAAAATATGTGAGATTTAAAAATGGACCATTTTGGATCGAGTATAGTGTTTAACACATTTGATTTCAAATATCTCAAATAAACAGGAAAAATAATCTTCAATTTTTTGTTGGGGATCCTCGTTCCCTATTCGGGACAAGAATGAGGACGCGATTTATGGTTCAGATCGGTGGTGGTTTGGCAATGGTTCAGATCGGTATTAATCGAATGTGGTGGTCGGCAGTGGTTTAGATGGCGATGGTCAGCGATGGTTCAGATGACGGTGGTTGACGGTGATTCAAATCGACGGTGGTCGCACGTGGTCGACGATAGTTGAAGGTGGTCGATGATGGTCATATTGGGTTTTATGAGACTAGGGTGTATTCGGTTAAGGGTATATTTAGTATTATGAAAATAGATAATTTCATTCCATCAAAATACCATGTAGTTGCTATAAAATGTTAAATTCCTTTATTTGTGGAATTTGTAGGATTTTGAAGATTTCTTTCGTGAAAATGAATGAACCAAACGAGAGAATGAATCTTGGTCGATAAAATTCAACATTCCAATTTCATCAGATTCCTTCAGAATTTGCAAACCGAATGCCCCCTTATTTTACCCTTTCGTTCCCTCTCGAGTTCAACCCTCCAATCGATTAATCTGCTTCATCCGTTGCTTCTAAGTTTACCCTTTCAATCGCAACTTCTCCCTTCTTAACCGATCGACAAACCTAACTCAACACCAATTGATCAGCAAACCTAACCCGTATCAATCTCGAAACCTAAATCGCTCCAAGATCTCAGGTATTGTCTCTCTCAATCAGAAAATGTAATCAACTAGTGCTATTTCTTTCTCAATCGATCTCAAACTCTCTCAATATGTCCCATGCCCATCTCAAACTCTCTCAACTAGCTAATCTTAACTTTACATTTGTATATGTTTGTTCTTGTATTATTGTTTGCTTTTACATTGTTTTTTAGTCCTACTTTTATCAGCTTTTTCTTTGTTGTAGTATTACTTTCTATATATGAGTTGGTCTACTTGACATTTGGCAGTTTGTTTGATCAAATAATGGTTGTTTGGAACGACAATAGACCTGAAATGTGAAAATATATTCCTTTGGTACAGTAATGAACTTGATCAATTTTTTGAACATAAATTAACAATGGAATGTGATTGGTTTTTTGCAATTTTTTTGCTTTTTGTTAATATATAATGTGATCTATAGATTAGAGCTTATCTTGAGGATTTTGTGAGCTATAACTAAATTACCCATGTTGCTTGTATGGTTAGTAATAAGAAGTTATCGCAAATGTGGAGGAATTTAGGGTGAAACCTTATGTCATTACATTCAGCACCACTATAAATGCATAGAGTTCAGTAGGATTAATGGGTATTTAACCAAATTTGCAAACTTTTGAAACTCTGATTTGGGGTTGTTGAGAAGTAAGACAGACGTGGAAAGCTGAATGATTGCTGCAAATTATGGAAGAGAAATGGGTTATTTCATAGAACTGAAGAACACTATCGAGCTTGTTGTAGAGGCAGGGCGTGCCATTCGTGTTGATAATGAAGCTAAGTGGGTTATGGATCCTTTTGAAGATGATGAAAATGGTGAAGATTATAGCGACCATGAAATCATGTTTCAAAAGCAGGTCCAAGTTAAGGTGAAGGTTGCAATTTATGGGTTGGGACAACTAGTTTTCTGTTGTATGAAGAATTTCTAATCAAAATTGCATAATGTAATTTCCATATAAAGCATTCACACATTCATTCCCTATCAATCCAAAAGTATAGTGAATGTTCATCAAAAGTTTTTGTTTTTGTCAAAATAAAAACTGCAATTTTGCCATTTACTTGAATTTTTTTAACATGTTAAAAATAGACGGTAGTATATTTTTGTTAAAATGAATTGATGGTTTTATAAATTATTAGAATGACATTTTGAGAGATAAAATAGACAATTATATATATGTACATTTGTCAATTTACAAAAATCAAATAGTCTTAAATGATTTGAATTTCAGACTTAACACCCAGTGCTAGATGCATAGGCGCATAATAGATCGATAAAGAGCTAGAATTCTAACCTTGTGTCAGGATGTACGAACCAAGGAACAGTTTCAGGTAGACAGTTTCTATGGAGCGTAACCATTTTTTATCAATTAAAATTGAAATAAAACTTTAAACTTAAACACTTATTAAAAAAACAAACAAACAACAAATTAATGACGAAAATAATAATAAATTTCAAATAATAAAGATGTAAATCACAATTGAAAATGAAAATCACAACTTTTACAAATAACAAATTTCAAAACCACGTGGACCAAATAGCAGTTTACTCGTAACAATAATTTTCAAAACGGTGGCAAGTGGCAACTAATAAACAATGCAGAGGCGGTGTTTCATTCCGTCAGTCATGTCGTACTCGGTGTTGAAGCAGGTGGTGACAATGGCGTCCATCTCCGGTGGGATTCCAAATCCAATCGTAAGGACGTCATGGTTATGGTCACGGAAGTTGTTGCCTTCACGTTCTTCAATACGTGTTAGCATCAACAGTTTCGTAGATCCGGTAACATTAACATGTACCGGTTCTCTTGTTAAAACGCCTCGTTTCTCCGGCTTCTCTGCTATTCGTACGTTTAAGGTCATCTTATATGATATTCTCCCTCTTTCTATTCAATGATTTCGTGTTTAGTTTGATTCTGATCAATATGACAACGACTATTGAATGCCATCATGTGCTATCTAATACGTTTATCCTCTGTTCGATTTTGTTGAAGTTGAGTACAGATTTATCAGAAACACACACATTCGCACCATATAACAATTCCGTAGTTGTAATTTGGTGGCTCTATTTTAGGCCAAAGCAATGCGGAGGCAATTTTGTTGAATTTGAGAACAAATTGATGAGATTCACACACATTCGCACCAGATGACAATTAATTGTGTTTTGGTGACTCTGTTTTAGGCGAAGGCAAAGGGGAGGGAAGAAGGCGAACCGTTCCCACGGCAATCGCAGGAGAAGCAACCCGGGAAAGAACATGTCATGGATCCCATCCCGCAATTCATCAACCATCATTACAACCCCTCCGCCAAACTCCATGTACGTTTGTTTCCTTAGCCAGTATTTGGTACATTTGGTACACCGGACAGGACGAGACAAAACTCAATGTACCATGTTGATGGGAAAAACGAAGCCACTAACGGTAAACAATAAGTGCGGAATTAACCTTCGTTAGGCTAAACTTTCCCGACCCGAATGAACCTTTGAGGATGCAAACAAATAGGGTATTTTCAATGCAAAGAAAAACAGCCCCCAAGACGTAAAATAGCAACCACAATGAGACACGAAATTTTAGCGTGGAAAACCCCTCAAAACGAGAGTAAAAACCACGGGACTACTAGAGCCGCTTTGAATCCACTACCACCAATATTAGAGCAATACAAAGTCTTCTCTAGATTATACTAGAGGCATACAAAACCATCATACTCCTGTAAATATGCACATCAAGATGTATGGAACCAAAAATAGGCAAAAGAGAGAATGTCACCACAAAAACGCTGCTGTGAAGAACCCTCAGAGAACCTGACCTCCARACCTCAAAAACACGATCCAACCGTCCAGAATGTTGGCTCAGATGTTGTGAAGACACTGACCAAAAATGACGACGATCCGACCGTTCAATCTMCGGGAAACAGAGTGTTTCTGCTACTGTGTTAAAAAGTGACGGAAATAAAGGAGCTCTCACCTTTCTTCTCTTTTTCCCTCTGTTTTGGCTGCACRACTTAGAATTTTAAAAATAGGGATGGAGAGATCTATATATATGTGGGCCATAACATGTATGGGCCTTCCTCATGGGCTAAAACCATAAAAAAACCCAACACATGTTTGGTGCAGCATGAGATAGAACAAGAACTCACTGTCCTATATTTGGTGTGACATGGGACAAAGACTAGAACCGGGACAAAGTGGGACAGCATGGGGCAAAAGAGGGTTTTTCTTGTTCCATCAAAATAGGTGGAACAAGACGGGACATATGAGACATAAACAAAAATATTACTAATCTACCCTAGTTTGATATATAACCTTAATATTATATTTGTTTTAATGGTCATCACTGCTAGTTTCGACCGCCGCCACCACCTCCTTATCCACTACAGCAACATCCTCCACTGCCTCCACAACCACTGTCCACCATCGTCCATCACCACCTCTACCATAGTCGACCACCGACCACCACTGTCTATTGCCACCACCACTACCGCCGTTCGCTACCTCCAACTCCTCGTTTACTACAACAACCTCCTTCACCACCTCCACAACCACCGTCGACCACCGGCTACCACCGTCTGTTGCCACCTTTACAACCATCGTCACCGACCACCAGCCCCTATTACCGTCAACACTACCACCATCGGCCACCTCCAACTCCTCCTATACCGCAACAACGTCCTCCATGACCTCCACAACCACCGTCAACCACCGGCCACCACTCTCTATTGCCACCTCTACAACCACCATCGGCCACCGACCACCACCATCCATTGCCATCACCACTACCAACGTTAGCCAACTCCAACTCCTCTACTGCAAGAACCTCCTCCACGATCTCCACAACTACCGCCGACCATCGACCACCACCGTCAATAGCCACCTCACCTCCACCATAACCACCACCACCACTATCTTCATTACATCAGCCACAACTACCTTCTCCACCATTGTCAAACGCCGCCACCATCACCATCCACCATCTTCACGTCCTCTATAACCACCGTACCAATCACCAAATCACCACTGCCTCTACCTCCATAACCACCGCTCATCACCACAACTACCGTCGGCCACCACCACCACCACGTCAACCATAACCATAACCACCGCTCATCACCACAACTACCGTCGGCCACCACCACCACCACGTCAAACATAACCATAACCACCGCTCATCGCCACAACTACCGTCGGCCACCACCACCACCACGNATTTTAAAAATAGGGATGGAGAGATCTATATATATGTGGGCCATAACATGTATGGGCCTTCCTCATGGGCTAAAACCATAAAAAAAACCCAACAAATCTCCCCCTTTTTGCCTATGAGGAAGAGTTCGCCATTCCGGCGATCGAGCAACATATTTTTAGCTTTTCACTTGCCAARGTCTTTGTCAACATATCGGAACCATTATCATTGGTATGAACTTTATCAAGCTCAAGCATCTTGTCTTCAAGAGCATCTCTAATCCAATGATACCTCACATCGATATGTTTTGTTCTTTTATGAAACATAGAATTCTTAGCAAGGTGAATCGCACTTTGATTATCACAAAGAACCACGTAACGTTGTTGCTTAAAGCCAARCTCTTGCATRAAACGTTTCAACCAYAATAGTTCTTTGCACGCTTCTGTTGCCGCCATATACTCAGCCTCAGTGGTAGACAAAGCAACACACTTTTGCAACCTTGATTGCCATGACACAGCTCCCCCTGCAAAAGTCATCAAATACCCAGAAGTGGATTTCATGTTATCCTTATTTCCTGCCATATCAGAATCAGTGTACCCAACAAGCACTGGTTCCCCATTTCCAAAAGTTATACCCAATTTGGAAGTACCGCGTAGATATCTGAGAATCCACTTAACTGCTTCCCAATGCTTCTTACCTGGGTTCGACAGAAAACGACTAACARCACCGACTGCATAGGCAATGTCGGGTCGTGTGCACACCATGGCATACATCAAGCTCCCTATAGCTGAGGCATAAGGAACTGTATCCATCTTTTCAATCTCTTTCTTAGAAGTAGGGCAGTCTTTATCTGTCAGCTTAAAGTTGGTAGTAAGAGGTGAACTAACCACTTTAGCTTTATYCATGTTGAATCTGCAAAGCACCTTCTCGATATATTTCTCTTGTGACATGTGCAACTTCTTCGAAGCTCTATCTCGAGTAATCCGAATGCCAAGAATCTGTTTTGCTAGCCCTAAGTCTTTCATAGCAAAAGACTTGTTCAATTCCAACTTCAGCTGTGCAATTCTTTCTGCATTCTTGCCAACAATCAACATGTCATCAACATATAGCAACAAGATAATGAAATCATCATCACCAAACTTTTGGAAGAAAACACAATGATCTGAAGTAGTCTTCCGATAACCTTGCTTACCCATCACTGACTCAAATTTCTTGTACCACTGCCTTGGTGCTTGCTTCAAACCATAAAGACTTTTCTGAAGTCTGCACACATAGTCTTCTTTGCCCTTAACCTGAAAACCTTCAGGTTGCTCCATGTAGATTTCCTTGTCTAAGTCACCGTGAAGGAAAGCAGTCTTCACATCCATCTGCTCAAYCTCAAGATCAAGGCTAGCAGCTAAACCAAGAATCACCCGAATGGATCCCATCTTCACGACTGGAGAGAAAATCTCTTCAAAATCAATTCCCTTTCTTTGACTGAATCCTTTGACCACTAATCTAGCCTTATATCTGGGCCGTGAGGTATGCTCTTCAGTCTTCACTTTGTAGACCCATTTGTTCTTCAAAGCTCTTTTGCCTTTAGGCAACTTCACCAACTCAAAAGTATTGTTCTCATACAAGGAATTCATCTCATCTTGCATGGCTTTAACCCACTCCCTTTTGTGTTCATCTTCCATGGCCTCTGTATAGCACTCAGGCTCTCCCCCATCAGTGAGTAAAACATACTTATCAACAGAATAACGGGTGGAAGGATGACGATCTCTTGCAGACCGCCTAAGTGRGACAAAAGTGGGAATATTAGGTACCGGTAGCTCTGAATGAGAATCTTCATCTGTCTCTAAGTGCTCTGGAGCATCAATATCATCAGCACTATGTTGTTCATCATTCTGAGCACCATCTTCATCATGTGTATCAACATGCTTAGGAGGAACTGGATCCAAATCAGTAAGATCATTATTATGTTGAGAAGTTGTCTCTTCCTTC